GTTTTATTCAGGCTCTAAACCTTGTGGATACAATATGACTTAGAGCAAATGGATTGTGGAATGGGGCAATGTGTAACCCTTATCAGCAAGAGGATCTCAAACAAAACAAAACAAAACAGACCAACAACAACAAAAACACATCTCAGGTGATTCTAACTTGCAGAGAAGGCTGGGGACCTTTAGCCCACCCTGACACCAAGACCTCAAATAAATATATTCAATGTCTCACTGAAAACCAGGATATTAATATTGATGCTGATCCAACAAGCAAACAAACTTTGGAAGGAAAAAGAGTAGGACTGGAAAATCTTCCACTCTCTTTTCAGCCCACTTGACTTGTAAAAGGACAGTGAAAGGTCTCATGAGAAAAAAAAAAAGAAACAGGAGGAACAGGCGGAAGAGTTCAAATCAAAAATAGGTGGTCCCTTATCTGGGAAAGGCAGCAGTGAGTACCAGGTAATGAAATAGTGTGTAGATTAAATTTTAATAAGTTAGATGACAAGCTGCTGCTGTAGTCACAATCTGGAGGCTGGATAAGAATCCTAAAGGACACTTTAACTATCAAAATATGTGTTGCATTAATAATAGTAATACTTACTGAAAAGAAAAAAGGATCAAGTCCTAGAATAACATACCAATACTTAGTCCCTTTCTGACGCCTTTCTGGCAATAGAAACATGACAGTCTTTTTCCTTCTAACATATCAAGGATTTCAAAGTCAAACTACACAGTTGTATTTAATTTAAAAAGAAAAAAAAAAGGTGAAAATCATAATGCAGAAGGATCCAAAAGAGGAAGATCTTTAAGGAGATCACTTCAGGAATATACAGACACATTATATTTCACAAGGAATTTAATCACTTTAGTAGGTGAAATCCCACTGCTGAAAATATCTCTTCTTCCGTTGTCATTATAGAAGATACCAAAGGAGTGCCTGGCTGCTTCTCTGTGAATGTCTTCTGGAAGGGAGTACATCTGAAGCTCACTACGGATGCTGGGGATAGCTCCAAGGAAGAGGGCGAAGCTCGCTGCCATGCGTGAAGCTGGCAGGGGGTGTCTGTGTCAGATGGCGCAGCCGTGACGAGCAGCTCTCTGGTGAGCTCCTCCTCGCCAAAGGGCCACCAGGCGACTGCACAGGGCCCTGCAAGAGGGATTCTCAAATGGCAACACTTCTACATCTCATACAGCATGTAGATTTACCGTGTGAGACCCATGTGTTCTGCAATTCCTTCTTGGGGTTCCCTTTAAAGCAAACTGATTTGAACAAATAGGGAATAAAGGATTTACAAATGCTTTACCTGTTGATTGTCAATAAATCATTTTCAACAGAATTTTGAGAGACCATTTTAAAAAGCAGAAGCATTCACTTGTTGGCTAATGCTACTTACCTTTGTAAATCAGCAAAGACAGACTTTCAAGACTACACTTGTGTATGCCTCCCACACACCAGTGCTATATATATATTAAACACTCAACAGAAAACCAGCTTACTCTTCCAAATACTATAAACTGAAGGAGGCCCTTTTCCCCTCCTCTACTTGCAGAAGCTTTAATTAAGGGAAGCTCAGTTACATTACGTCATTTCTTCCCTTTGCACTGTCTTCTGTTTTTCCTTCAGTTCGCAATGAATCAAGAAAATAAACAGACATTATGGGAAGGGGAAGGAAAACAATCCACAAGTTTCTTGCACTGGTTTAAGGTACTATGTAGTTAGGCATTACTAACTTTGCTTCCTCCAGCAACTTTTACAAATGGTAATTCCTCTGGTAAAATCAAGGATTTAAAGAAAGTATTAAAATAGGATTTGGATGGCAGAGGATATCCTCAACAGATTACTATACTTTTATGAAAGGTCAAAATTCAGGGTGTCTTTACTTGACAATATTGTTTAAACATATCTTGTGTAACTAACACATGCGGGCAATATTACAGCATGCAATTAAAAGTACATATGTTTGCATTCTTGAAAATCAGAAGAGCAAGCAGAGGCAGGTGAAAGTTTACACTGCTTGTACCCCAAAGAGAATGAGGACGGTTAAAAAAATTCTTACCAGTTCTTGTGAGAGAAAAAATGTTTAGATGTCAAAGACACTTTTTTTCCCTCCTAGAATTAACAGTTCTTTACTAAATCCAAAATTACTGGCAACTATGCAGACACAAACACTTAATATGAAGAAAAAAACAGATTGTATAGCTTTCTTTATGTTTTTGCTCTCCAGACTCTTATTATCAGATTTGACTCAAAGCACAGTCTCCCTCTCAAAATCCTATCACTGGAAAGGCCATGTTATTACATGTATAGCATTTTGAAAGATTATTTGTATAGACAAAAAGGCAAAGATTTTAATTTTAAATTCATTTTAAAAGCTCCTGAAAAGGGAAAGTAAGGAGACCAGAGAATGTATTTTTGCATGTGAAAAGAACAAATGCTCATTTAGTAATCCAAATAAAGTAGCAGCAAGTATATTGAATAGCTTTTCAAAGAGAAGATTTTGATGAGAATTACCTGGACAGCTGAAGAAACTCTTTACAATAAACAAACTTAAATGTTGACAGATGCAAAGCAATGCTGATTTGATAGTTATAAAAAGTTACTTTTTCTAAGTATACAAAAGCTTATATGTAACTTGAAAGCACTGCAATATTCTGAGCAGTTCAATCTATCTACTGAATTAGTAGAAATTACTAAAATGCCACAATACTGAGGAAAAAAAATAAACTTTCTTCCCTTCATTTTTTTTTTTAATTAAGAATGGAAGGGGTCTGGAAATACTTCATTTCATTGGAGGGATTAACGCTGCAGATTCATGTGCAGCCTTCAGTTACTTTATTTGTTAAGTACTATCACAGGAGAGGTCCAGGATTAGAAACAAGTAACAGCTCTGCCAAGAATGACATGTCAGCATCATAGACTATCTAAAGTGATGTACGAGGAAAACAGCAATCAACACAACACCACTGTACTGACTTCTCAATTCTCTGGCTTCTTCTAATGCTGGAAGAGTATTAATTTGGATGGATAGGAAGAAGGTTTAAAAAAAAAAAAGTAATTCATGCCCATTTCCAGTGGCAAAAGATGCAACTTCTATATCCATCTATGAAGAAAAACAATCAAAAGAGAAAAGGGGAACCTTTTCTCTTGGAGGAATGGCTCCTGCCGCCATTTCAGCCCCTAGAGCATATTTCTATGGTTGCCCTTGGAACTTGTTATTACAAGAGTAAACACTTTTTTTCCCCTCAGGAAGTATCTTATCTATGCCAATAAACACAGAATAAAGTTGTACATTTTTCAGAGAGAGATATGCACACAATTGGTCTGAGAAAGCAGCATGCCAAAATCCACTTTTTTTTTAAATAAAAAAGTGCTAAACTGAGCTTGCACAATTCTTAGAAACTGAGTTGAGAAATTCCTCCAAGAGCTGATTACATAGTGTTCTACCATAATGTATTTTTAGCAGGTCAGCACATCACATTATTTCACAACTGGAAAATGAAGGGATAAGAGAGCTATTTACAGAAGTCATAGAAAATTTGATAACATGGAGCATAAGGTCACTAAATCATACATGAATAAATAATAAATGCAGAAAGGCTTCTGTGCTCAGTGAAAAACTGCTTCCATCATTATCTGCTGTATTATCTACAATATGCACTTGATTTAATAGCTAATCCACAGACAAAATTAGGTAATAAGCTGTAAGATTTCAATTGAAGATGTTCATTACACACATACACACAGAATAATACATATACATTATATATATATATAAAAATATATGTAATATATAATGCATCATATATATATATAAGCTAAATGGCACATCACTCACTCATCCTTCTAGATACTGCAGTAACATCAGTAGAATATTTCCATGAAGTTCTAAAACAGTTAATTCCTGACCAAGGATGCTGCAGGACAGATGTTTAACTGGCAGTAAGAATGTACAAGAGCATCCTCAGTTGCCAAGTCTCAGGCAGAAGCCCCAGGAAAGCATATATCCAAAGCCAAAGCTAAATTTTAGTACTGAATTTTAAGTGCATATTTAAGACTTCCATGACTTGTGAAGTATCTAAGCTTATGTATTCTTGTCTTAAAACCTTAGTTTATTTCTAATTTATGTATACAGAAAAACAAGACACATCTTTACAACAAGCAAGTAGTCCCTATTAAAAATCTGCAAGTCATGAAGACGATTTATTCATCAGGACGATTTTCAAAGCCAAAGCTTCTCTGAGTTTGGACTCAGAGTGGGAACTAAGCTTCTCCCTGAAATGTGTCTCAGCAACAGCACATCAACATCATCAAGGAAATCTAGTCTGCTTATATAATTTTGCTTTAAAAATATATTGGTCTTATAATTTTCAGCAAACCATTAAACTTTTTCTAAAACTTCATTTCAAGAGGAGGGTTTTAGATGTTGCTGCAATCTATATTCTTGCTCTACTTGCTTATTCGCATTCATACTAAAACATTCTTTCAACCTTCCTTATTGAAGTACTTGCACATTTTCCACACAACATTATCACAATAAAGTATCTATATCCTTATTACCACCTATAACTACATTTCCAGTATTGTTTGTATAAAGGTCGGCAAAATCTATACAGTGGAGTAAAGTCCAGCGAATCCTTATATAAAAAGGTATCATCTCTTAGGAAATGCCCCATAATATTCTGTTGGTTTTATCTTTCTTTAGTTAGAGCTCAGCAATCCTACATTTCATCATCTTCACTTCCGTAAAGTGGGGTTTCATCTCCAAGAAAGACTGCTATGGCTGTATGCCTTCTGCACTGGCACAGTAACTATACACTGCACAGAGCAGTGGGGAGGCAGGCAAGCACCTTTCTTTAACTTATCTGAAAAAAAATCATATGAAAGGCCCCAGAAAAGTTTTAAGAATTCTTAGAATACAGTATCTCTTTGGCAATAAGCATAGCAAAGAACTAATGAGAAAAAAAATAGTTTTCAGATGCTTTCCATTTTCTTCTTTTCAACTTACCAGGCATGATAATATTGGAAAAGCCTAGTTTCCTTGTTATGGATACACCATGGGTAAACATAGATGTGTACTCTCTCCTAATTTGCTCTATGTCTCCATGAAGCAACTGAAGAGAAACCGCCAGACCTAAAAATAAAGAGGAAAAAAACCCAAAAACTAATTAGAGTAAGACAGTCAGGATGACCAAAGTCTGAATATTTCTTTTAAATTGCATGTGTTTATACACGTGTAATCACTCCTGACATAACTGAATTCAGGCAGAGTTCTGAAGTTCTAGGAGGTCACCAACACATCTCAGAGTTTTTGTGTATTAGGAAAGGGTAACAATAACCAGAAATTGATAAATAGTGGAAGAAAACAAGTAACCAAAAAGCATTATTAATTTTTTAGTGTTATGTAACAGAACTACAAAGATACATCGAATTAAAATTATCCTAACAAAGATCTATTGATGCCTTAAGCAGAAAAAAAAATAGAGAAATGTCTATTTAGAGAAGCAGCAATTGGTAGTATTTTATGTTTTCATTTACTTCAACACAATGCTGCCTTGGTTGGTATGCCAAGAAAGAGGTGAATATGAAGTCCCATTAAAATGAATCATTTCACCTTATATATTGTACAAATCATTCATTAAAGATGTAAAAAAAAAGCAAGCTATGAAACCATGTAGATCAATATTTTTCTACTTACAGTATTCAACAATAAACTCATTATAATAATGACAAAACTCACATTTTTTCAATATTCATGAGATATAATCAGTTTTTAATGCTCTTTTTTCTATGTTTGCTGGAAAGCATACAAAATGCAAAATGATGACTGCATAATTATTTTCTAATATTTATTCCTCCAGAACCAAGGAAGAAGAACTTCACCTATCATACCCACAGGATGCAAAATAATTTCAAGCACCATATTTCACTACAGTTGAAATTACACAAACAACAGACATGCTTTTTGGTTATTTCAAATATAATCATGGAAACAAGTGTTAGGATGACCGCAGAGATTAATCTTCCCAGACCCTGAAAATCCCTACAGCAGATCACATGCCAACACGCAGAGCAAGGAGTAGAGCAAACTCTTCATGTACATGGAAGAACTGGAGATAAAGACAACTCAGAAGCTTCATAATCCACTTTAATTTAAGCTTAGATAAATAACACATCTATTTGATCAGATTTCCATTCTATTAACATGAAGAACAGCTCAGCTAAATATCTCCAGCTGAGTACATGAACAAAAAAATACCCAGTGGCATCTATTTTAAGTATCCTTTAAAGATGAATGCCATGGACAGTAATTATTTTAGTAGTGGGAATTTGTTCTGTGTTTATCATGTTAAATTTAGGGAGCAGTGACAACTATAGTCAATGTAGACCAAAGAATAAGTGGCCAACTGATGGTTCTGGAGCCTTTCATGGCCTGCAGCTCTCTGTAACAGGTCATAATCCAGGAGAAAACCCAGACTCTATTAGCACAAATGAAAAGTTTTTTATTGCTGGACGGGAGAAGCTACATCTCCCTCCACAGATCCCTACAGCAGCTGCATTAGCCTGGCAGGGAAGCAAACACAGCGGCTTTGTTAAGGTTAGGTCACCTTTGTCACCATAGGTCACCTTTGTCCAGGTTAGGTCACAAAGGGAAGAAAAAAAGTGAGCAATGTGCTTTAAAGCTCTGCTGGAACTTTTGGTTGCTCTTTTTGGGGTTCCAGGCCTACTGCAGAGTCAGAAGGTAGAACCACAAATGATGCTGTAGCATCGGCTTTTCCCTGTCTCTCCTGCTGATAAAGAATCATTTGGACTCCTGCCATCAGTCAGGGTGCCTTGTGCTGTGTCCAAGCCCCCTTTTCCTCTTCTCAGCTTCCAATAATGAAACGAATCAGGGTTCTAGAAGTAGTAAATTCCCCAAATCTTCAAACTGAGAAGAGATTAATTTTAACTGTCTTGAATTCTCTCACACTGGCCCTTCCTCAGCGACAGCAAGCTATACTTCTAATTCTTCACAGTTTCTACCTGCAGCACATTCCAGTTCAAGATTTCTTAGAAAATACGTATTTAGATCCTAGAATCATATTTGTTTGCATATTGCAAACGTTCCTCAAAAAAGTCATTTAACCCCAACGCTGAAAGTGTTGCATAAAAGTCACTTAAAATATAAGAGGAACAAGACTGGAGATGGACGAAACATAAAATTTCTTATATTGATAATGTATATAAATGCAACTGCATATTCCTACTTGCCCCTATTGCACTGTTTCCTTGGACATTTAGAAAAGGTTTGTCCTTGTCCCAGACCCAATCAAAGTGAAGAGCACCAACAATCAGATGCTGCACTCTGCCCGTGCAATAGTACTGCGCTCTCTAAACATCAAGTTTGCATTCAAGACTTCAAATTCAATTAGTACCAGAGTCTATTCTTGTCTGCTCAGCTCCCTGACCTGCTTGAGGAATTTCATCTGGCTCGAAAGGAGATGAATGTCAAGAGGCTCCTCAATGGCAAAACAGTTTTAACCTGGGAAACAAGCTGCTTGTCATGATGTGAAGTACCTACTCATGCAAGAGAAGAAATGTGTTAGAGCTCTGTGTTTCACAGCATTCATTGTTCAGAAATGAAGAGTCATCATTTTATCTCCACAAGCTTGAAAAAAATCTCTCAGTGAGCACACATAAAAGATGCTTTAGTCATTCACCTAGAGTTTTAATACATCTTTAGACTATATATGATATTTTTATACATATATACACACATACACATGCTTGTATGTGTAGTAGATACATAAACACATATGAAAAACACTCCAACAACAATCCAAACTCTTTAGAATAAACTAATGAAGAATATTTGACAAAAGATAGAAAAACTTAATCAGAAGTAGGAAAAATCTTATGCATTGAAACGTTCCGGTCTCCAAGAGAAAAGAGTGAAACTAAAACAGAAGAGAAAGAGAGAAAAGATGCACAGAAAGCCAATCTGAAGAACCTCCAAAGATCAAGGTTTTCTAGTCAACAGTCTTGCAACTGAGGCTCCAGCTGCCAAATGAAAAGGGCATACACATAAATATCGCAATGTGTTAGGCCACACAATGGCCACAAAGATAAGCAAAAGCGAAAATAAAGGCACAGTTTGCTCCTCGATCATAACATAATTGCTGTTATAAGCCAAAACGAATCTCCAGACAGGTCAAGGTAAATCCAGCTGCAGCCCAGGGGACCCCGAGGCCTGTGCTGTCAGCTAAATACAAAGCCTGTGCCAGCTGCAAACAACGACAACCCCATATTTATGCACCTTTAACATGACAATGCACTTGCTGAAGAAACTAAATGCTTCTCATGACTGAGGAACATCTGAAATACTAGACATGAGGCAGCTCACCAGGACTTCTGCTGAACTTGACAGAGTTCATCATTACTATACAGAGAGAGACTACATTATCTGAGGGACTAAAGCTTGCTGCCTAACTACACATGAAATTAGTTGATGATCAGTTAACTAACATCACTTAAAACTCTATAAAGCAATTCATATTTTCAAGTGGTTGCACATTCAGTTGAACTAAGTACGGACTCCCTTAAACACATTGCAAAATAAAGTGGGATGAAGAAGAAGCAACTAGCTGAAAGACTCCACCTTCCTCACCAAAATTTAAGGAGAATTTTGTGTATCTTTGCAATGTCCAGAAAGCCCCTGATCTCAGTTCTCAGGTGATTATTTTCAAGAGGAAGAACGGAAGTGCTCTGACCTTACTGCTCTAGAAAGCAATGTTACCATCAGAGAGTAATGTAGCAGGGGCCAGTAGCTATTCGGAGAAATGGAGAAGATAGATACTCAAGGAAAAGGAATGCAGTCATAAAAAAGAATCGTATATGGAAATCCAAAGGTAACTCATTAATATATCTCTTGTGGATGCATATATTCCACTTCTGACATATAAAAAGGGCAAAATTCCTTTAATTTTAATTTGCCCCCACTTCCGTAATGTGTGTCAACACCAGTTCTCTCTTGTCTCAAGCTCCTGCTATAGACACTATAATTATCAATTATAAACTAATTCCAGAAGAGTTCTGCTTCAGAAAAAATAAAGCCTGTCTGCTGGAATAGATGTGCACAGAAAAAAAACAGAAGAGAAAATTATGTAAAATGCTACCCCGCACTGTATCTGACTTTTGCTGGTATGACCGTTGCATCATTTTGAAAGCTGGAGCCTTACTTACAAAGTACTTACTTTGCAACAACCGTTGCATCATTTTGAAAGCTGGAGCCTACAAAGTACTTACTTTGCAACAATAACTTTGCCATTTCTTGAGCATTAGGAGCTATATCATAAAAATGAAAATGTCTCTGAATTACTGACACATTTTCTTTAATCAGGTACATAGTCTAGTTTTGTCCCCTTGTACAAAATTGCAATTGTTCCCGCAAACAAAATCTCGCCAGTAGTAATTAAAACCCTTTGTGTGAGTGATCAGTCTCTATTTGCTCCAGTTTTGAAAATACTGCTTTCAGAAACAGTGGTAGTACTGCCAGCAGACCTGCTTTTTACTATCTGCTTTTTTAAGCACAAGAGATTTCCCACAATTAACTTATACCATAGTTTACCACAGATGAGTTTTATCATTCAGATGAAAGATGATATACCAAAATTGACAAGTTGCTGAATAAGCATTCCATATTTTTCTTAGATCTGTCATTTCACATTAAGACAGCTCTTGAAGTGCATTACTGATTTCTGTATTTAGGTAGGAAGAAGGCAGCAACTGTTCATTACACTTACAGACCACTTATTTGCATTTGCATTTCTGCGGGGAGGAGAAAGTGTTTATATTCAGCTTCTATCTACCGGCGGCACAGAAGCCCAGATCTTATTAAAAAGAAGATGCCTGGCAGCTGCTCAGGAAGCTGACAGGAAAAGCGTAGACAGAATGCTATCCAGCACTGTTTGTATTTTAGGAAAGGTAATAAAATAAGGCATCTGTCCAAACAAAGCAGCCGAAGGCTGCTGAAATGATCCTAAAAGCATACAGGAGTTCAAATTCCAGGCTGTATCTGAAGTTGTAATGGCAAAGACAAAACCAGCAGATTTCCATACTGTTATTGGCAAGCAAAGTTAATTATATAGCAGTTTA